GGCCCAAACTGTGCTCTGAAGTCCACATCATAACTGAAGTTGAATCTTTTGCGCCACACTTAAGTCAGACTTGCCTACATTTATTTCCTTCTTTTCAGGTGACCTGTAGTTGAAGGTGTGAACACACGCGCGCGTCCGCGTGCAACCAAAGCAGTCGACTTTCCCTCTAGGCTTCTTGGTGCGTCTGGTTATGTAATGCGCTTTTGCCCGCAACCAGAGGGACAGGGCCAATTGCTAAATATGTTTTCTAACACCACCTTCAACAATGATGGCAGCAGCAGTAATGGTCCATGTTAAACCTGAGGGGGGGAGAGGACAACAATAGCTTTTTGTCAGCCCCCCCCCCCCTCCAAAATGCCAGCATGACCATGTTAATTTGTAATGCATGCTGGATGGCTGACTCATGTGATCCAGATTCAGTTCATGATAGATGCCTGCATATTAGCTGCAAATTGGATTATATAAGAAGCGTCTGACTTGTCCTAAATATAATAGAGGTGTGTCAAATACTTAGTTAATAATGCACTAAAAGAGTGGGTCACTTGTTTAACTGTTTACTTCATAAATAATATATATGATCAGCAGTCTYATGGTGATAAACTGTTTATTAAAGGAGTGACACAAACCAAGCTTAAAGTGTCACCCAGCTTTATATTTCTTATGTCTGACAACAAAAAAAGTTGGGTGATAATGCGTTTGCCAGTGTCTGTGTTAATACCACTCTCAAATTCTTATTTTCTATGTTTGGTGATGTCATTTCCTCATCCACTACTCAAGTAACCCAGGGCAAAAAAAAAAAGTTCATAGTTGTTTGAGGATGTTTTAAGATAAACACAAGTGATGTTAAGACAGCCGACTGTTTGCTTAAAAAGAAGTGTGTTTGAAAAGGCATTGTATAATGTCTAAGTACTAATTAATTAAGTCCTCAGTATCAGTACTCAGTATTGGCAAGTCCCCACAGTGATGTACTTCTCAATCTAGAAAACAAAACGCACAAAAAAAAAAATAGTATCAGGACACCCCTAACTGGTGTGTTTCTGTTCAGTTATTACCAGAATATTTCACGAACTATAATGGACACATTTTAATGAAAACTTGCAGAAAGTAATCTTTCAATCAATTTGTTAGAAAATAGAAAAATCATAATTTCAAGCCTGTAGATTTTGTTTGACCTCTTCTCTTTTTTAAATGGCAACATTACTTTATGATGTTTGAGCATCTGATGCCAAACATTTATTTTACAGGTCTCCCTTGTAAATGAGACTGTCTCAATGACCTGTATAAAACCTGTATGAAAGATTAAAAAAATAATAATCATCTGATGTACATCTTGAACTGATTAACTTCTGGAGTCATCCCCATTTAAGATGTCTATAATTTTCACAAATGTGCAGATAATGACTTAAAAGTTGGAGCTGAGCTTGATCCCTGTGCATTTTTGCCATTAATTATTTGTTGTCAACTGTGTCTTTTTTTTAACAATATATGACGTGAACCACTGAACAAATTTTAATTAAAACACACAGGAAATAATCACTAGATACACGCCTACAACTGATTGACGTTTGGAACCGAACCCATTCAAGATGGCCACCAACATTAGAAAACACCAACATGGCTACAGTTCAGCCAGTTTGATTACACATGCTATCATCACCTGGGATCTTTGCTTTAAACGTTAGCGTTAACTGATAAGAGTCGTTCCTGTTCATCYGTTATCAAATTATCTCATGAACCACAAAACAAGTCTTAATGAGTTTCTTAGAAAGCAATCATTGTAAGTTAATCTAAAACTGATTATCTTTTAGACAGTCTAATTCAAGATGGCCGCCAGGAAAGCTGAAGTTAGCCAACACAGAATTGGTTACAATTCAAACATTTTTATGGATTTAAAGCTAAAGTTTGATATGGTTAGCTCTGAGATTGCTCAGTATTATGAAGGTGCAGGGGGCTTTAACTCATCAACAACATGTGATCTTAGCCAAAAGACTCTTGATGTGGGTGAAATGCATTTCTTCATGGAATGCTGGGCTTTTAGTGTTTCAGTAACTCGTCACAAGCTGCTGGTTTGTGCCTTTTGCTCGTGCTCTTCTCACCGTTAGGCCTCAGCTGATTTAGCCCCGACAAAGATCTGCTTATTATGTTTAGAGGTTAGCGGTGCCCTTGACGTGTGCAGCCGGTAGCCAGCTATAGTGAGTCATCAAGGCTAATCGGGGGGAAAGCACGCACAATTTAATCTGGACCGGAGAGTTTTTGATCTGCGATGGTGTCCACTCAGTGGGTCTTTGTTGTCAAATCGAGCCACTCGAGATGCTGGGCCCAGATTGCGGCGAGAGAGAGGAGCGGAGTGCCATTTCCACTGAGAGCGATTGTCCCCGGCGATCCGAAAGCCTCCAGTGTTGAATGATCAGCAGAGTTTGCTGTAATACGGCAGTATTCCACATTACGGCCTGATGATGAATTGTCCGGTGGCACCTGCTGCGAGAGGAAATATAAATTAGTGGGACTTTGCTGGTGACGAGGGAGAGTAGAAGCTATTCACTAGACGTTATTTACTGATTTAGATTCACATAAAATGATCTGCATTCGTACGCAGGGATTCCAGTAACAGTGTTTGTCTCTCATGGTCTTGACCCGTCGAACTATTTTAACTTTTATTTTTATTTTTTTGCTCAAACTCACTCGTTTTGCTTGTTTTGTGTTTTTACATTTTTAGGCACATGGGTGACTTATCGAGACGCTAGGTGGTGACCCAAAAAGAAAAGCAGAGCAGCTTAATCTCAGACACACCTCTGATGCCTCTGGCCAGTCTGAGCTCATGTTGTCTGCTGGCTGGGATAAACTAGTGGCCGGGCCAGAGAGCACAGTGTTTTCACACACAGCAAAGCCCACACAGGTGAAAGCACCGTTACACCTTTAAACAGTTATCTCTTGCAGTTTATGTCAGTTTGGATTAGTTTTGTGTTTGGCATCATTTCGATTACTTTTAATCATAGCTTTTGATTTTTTTTTTCCTTTAGGATGTCGTGGGCCAGAAGCCTCTTTGTAGGCAGAGAGAATGAGCAAAAGACAGCGTGGGGTGAGCGAAATGGCAAAAAGAGGAAGGACAGCTCGTCACTATGCAACCCACGTTACATGAGCTGCCTGAGGGACCCGGAGGACTCAGAGATCCCTAATGCGGCCCCTCAGCATTACCACTGCGAAGCAGGTACCAGCGGAAGCAGCTTTGGCCTGCGCTGTGGGTGGCAGGAGGACCACTATGGGAAAAGGCTAGTCGGTGGCCGAGACCTGGGTCTAAAAGGCGCAGACCTGGGGTTTGAAGACGGCGAGCTGAAGGACGCGACAAAAGACGAATCGGACGAAGCAGCAGAGGGCAGCTGTAAGAGGATGAGCGCAGCAGACTGCTGGATGGGGCTTTTGTGGGTTTTCCAATCCAAAAAGTTTCAGTCTGCCAAGCTGGAACGTCTGTACCAGCGCTATTTCTTCAGACTCAACCAGAGCTCTCTGACGATGCTGATGGGGGTGCTGGTGGTGGTGTGTGGAGTCATGCTCACCTTCCACTGCGTCCACACGAGCCGCAACGTGGCCTACATCTCAGTGCTGTCGGTGGCCACGGCGCTCTTCCTCACCATGATGTTTGCGTGCAACTGTTACGGCTTCCACCAGGACTACATGTGGATCGTGAACTACCTGGTGATCGGGGTTCTGATTGTATTGCAGGTTTTCGGGGTACTGATGGTGTCCCCCCGCAGTGCCTCAGAGGGCATTTGGTGGACAGTGTTCTTCATCTATATAATCTACACTCTGCTGCCGGTCCGAATGCGAGCCGCGGTTCTTAGCGGGACCGTCCTGTCCACCATTCACATCGTCACCTCCTGGCAGCTCAATCAGGACGACCAGTTTATTTTCAAACAGGTAAGTGACGCCAGGGTCACTGTAGTGTAAAGGTCTATTAAAATGTATGAATATATTTTTATTAATATAATATTATTGCTATATTTTGATTTTAAAATTATTAGAGTTCCTGCTGAATCACTTTATTCTAGGATTTTTTTACATGGGTCTTCAGTTGTTGTTATATATATATA